CCTGTCGCTTCGGGTGGTTATTCGAGAGCACAGGTGTGGTCGCGTTCAGAAATGCTTATGGGCCGCGTTATGGACGCGTTTCGAGGCGATACGGGATAGCCGTGGCTACCCCGTGGCTATCGTCTCGTAAGAGGATCGAATCCGTTAATGAAATTAACGCGAGGGTCGCGATATCGTGGGTGTAATCCACGTGGGCTAGTCGTCGTAAATGAAAGCAAGCAACGGGTTGGCAATAACGGGGGTTGTTGGCATGGCGTGGTTGCAACAGTTGAAACTGAGATACCAGATCTTCGTCACGTGGCCGAAGATCGTGCAAAACGATTATCGTCGTTCTCGAGTACAGGAAATAAAGGGATTGCGATTGATAAATGGATAAGACACGCGTGCGATCGAAACGATCGTGTTATGGGATCAGTGAGTGTAACGCGAAACGAAATTCAATTCAAATTGAATTCTAAAATCTTCCTTGCCTTCGTTTCCTTCGCTGCCTCCGGATTTCTACGTCTGCCGAGACGTCTGGAACCGAGAAGTCCTTTCTGTCTCTGATGATGGCTCCCCTCGTTTCATCGTCAACAAAGAAAGACGCGGTTGAGGGGGGGATCCATATCTTTAAATCATCGGTCGAAACGTCGTTAATTACGCGACGAACGGAGGTAATCTGGACGATCGCGAATAATTCTCCAGCTAATTCGATCCCGGCGACTAAGATCAGGATCATTACAGGCCGATTAGACCTTAAGGAATTAATTCACCCATTGTCTGCGGGATTTCTATCCGCGCCATAAACCCTTTTCACTCGGAGGGTAGAAACTTGCGCGGCACTCGCGCCATAACGTCGCTTTTCCTATCTACCGCCGCCGCCTCCTTTCACCCTTCCCCGGCTAGATCAGACCCCCGGTTCATTTATTCTCGCCACCCGAGGCTATTGTGATCTCCGCTCGCGTGACCGATTATCACGTCGTCGATCGCTCCCGGGGATCTTAAATCTGCGAATCGCTCGTTTCATTTCTCTTACGCAACTCGGATCCGCTCTTGATTTAACGGCTGATCTTTCGCCGACACCCTAATAATGGAACAATGGGCCTCGATGGACGCGTCCAACAGACGCGTCTTTAAGATTAGATTGGATTTCTAAATGAAACGAAATTTGATCGAGTGGTTGTTCTTGTTTCTCGAGAGATTGGAACGGTGATGTATTGGATGGTTATCCTCTCGAAGAAATTTGAAATTCTTGGAGCATCGTTGTAAGTTGTACCACGGTATAACTATGGATTTTTCGAATCAGTTTTATCAGACGATCAACAAATTTTCGGAAATAATCTAAATCATAAATCGCAATCGTCATTCCGAATTTTGTCCTGACATTCAAATTTCTACGCCCAAAATAATACGAATATCGTAGCTGAGAGAAGTCACGCGTCTCTGTTTAAACGCAAATCAATTTTCTGGAAAGGAAAAATTCATTTCGACGAATTTATACGAGGATCGCTAAAGATTCAAAATGGTGAAATTTTTTTGAAGCGACAATAAAAAAGAAACGAATGGAAACGTCCAACAATATAATCGAACGCGAAACATCTCTATCACCTTGTTCCAATCTCGATATTTCTATCGGTGTCGATCATCCCCTCGGACAATAGGAAAAGGGCAATATAAGATAATGCCCTGGAATAAAGTCGGTTTCATTGCTCCCCGTTTCGATCTGATAGGTGTAATAGGCTCGTCGAGTGGCTCGAAATCGGGACGGGTTTAAACTCCCTGCGTGGCCTACGAGAGAAATTTAAGACGTCCATTGTTCCTGCCGCTTGAATTTACAAGGGTTGTAAACCGCTTTGAGCTACGACACGTTGCAACGCCACCACCGCCGCCGTTCTGACATCATCCCCATCACGAGCCACGCTTTAATTAATGCGTTCTGTATTTTACACGACAGACCATCAGACGAGGGTAACGTGCTCGATGATCGCGGGACAAGTGCCTCGGTCCTTCGATCTTCCTCCTCCTCCTCCTCCTCGAGGATCCGAGAATCAACGACCGTGACACCTATAAAGAAACGAAAGAGAGAGAACTTGACAATCCCAGACGTATCCTCTCGCGGTCTGCAGCTTTAATTAAGCTAGAATTTAAATTGAAAGTCCAAGTGTATTGTTTAAAAGTGACGTACTGGATCGTTACCTTCTAAAGTGATACTTTTACATGAATTTTAAAGACGTTGCAATTTGTCTCATTAACAAATGTTTTCCTTTAAATCATAAATAAATCTACGTGATCTAGTTAAATAATTTATAAAATATGCCGTCACTGGATACTCACATGTGAAAAACTTGCCTACAAATATTAATTTGTACATATAACACATTTCCAAAAGAAAAATCTCCGGATCTCCAAAATTATTTTCGCAGATAAATAATATTCTCGTTGGTCTTAAAACGCGACTTCTTCCTTTTTTCACTTTTTCTTACAATATTATTTACACATTACAAATACAATCGAATCCTCTCGTTCCAATGAAAAATACACATTCTACGCGAGAATACATATTCTTCATCCCCAGTTTAAATTCGAATCAAACGCCTCGAATCCAGCCGGAATTCCTCGACAATCGCTCCCGAATTTCTTCGCGAGAAGGAACGGTGGGAGGCATCGCGGGAAGCGACAATAAAACGCGACCTTCACCGAGGTAATCTTCAATTCGAGATCGACGGGAGGGAGGGGACGGAGAAAAGGACCCTCGAAGGAAGCGCGAGTGGCACGCGTATCCAGGGATATTTGTGACAAGGGGGTGCAAAGTCACGGGCGAGCTGTGTCGAAGGGAGGATCGATCCCCCGAGGCCGATGGAGGAGCCGCATTCCGTGTAAGCGGCCCTCCTTCACGACCACTTTCTCCTCGCGAAATAGCGAAACCCTTCGAAGCGGACAAAGTCGCCCTGCGGGAGATTCACGATCCTTCAAAGTGGCAGAGAGGGAACGACTAATCAACGCGGCCATTGTCCGAATCACGGTTTCAACGGAAATTATTGTTACCCCTGGCGACGTGTTTATCGTCCGTTGGACCGAAGGGATGAGCATTGTTACGAAGCGATTACGAAGTTTACGAGGAGTGCAAGGATCTCTTGCGACGATCTTGTTCCACGATTGTGGAAAAATTGAATAATCTTGTGATAAAGGAAAAATTAGAGAGCGAAAAATGATTGAGCAGCATGTGAGATCCGTTGTTTAATCGAGTGATATTCTGTACCGTTCGTGGTATGGATATTGGATGAAAAAAAATTTTGGACCGTTCCTGTTATTGTTTTACAACAGTTATGAATGGAGAATTACGTTACTTTTTTCTCGCGTCCATTCGCAGCAACCATTTGTTTGACATTTTGACGCGAGGAAAGTTTCAAACTTTAAAAATTCGCTTTAAAAATGGAAATAACGAATTATCGATTCGATAAATACCGTTTATCCTATCC